AAAATTAAAATTCAATCGTTGTCAGAAGAGCTTAAATTTAAGAGGAATAGCTAAGCATTTTTAAAGATTGCTCTATTTAAATAATATATTAATTAATTTCCTATAATTGAAATAAGCTCCTTTTTACAATAACGCAACTAATTATGTATAGAAATTACTGTCCAACAGTCTATTCTTTACGCAAGCTTTTTTTATCTCGCATGATTCAGTATAAAACTGATTTTTAGGTGAATTCAAAGAAGCATACGTTTTCATATCAGAAATAAGTGTTATTCAGCAATTCTTTTATCGTGTTATACAGGGCCAGCAGTACAATTTTTAGTTCGCGACATGTGGAGTCCTACTGTACTCGAAAATAGAAAAAGTTTTATCATTGAATGAGTATTATTTCTTCATTATTTGAATCTGGGTCACGTTACACTACTCGGCAGGCGAGTCTCGTTGCGTTTCAAAGAGACGCTTCTCCTGATGCAAATGGTGAGGATGACTACCGTGCACTTGAGATATTTGGTGTTGGGCAATTATTCAATGGTTACTACATCTGTGAGTGTGACAGAATTATAAAATAAGCTAAACAATTGCATGAAAACACGTACGGAAGAAAAATAAGGTAGAAAAATCATTTTAGAAGTTTAAGAAATAAGGAAGGCGTGAAAAAGTAGGCTAAGAAGAAAGAAAGTAGATAGAAAAGTTGTCGGGAGGAATTAGGAAAGTAGGATAGATGAAGTTAAGAGGTAGACAGGAGGGTAGAGTAAAATGGAAAGACTGAAAAGTACAAAATAAAAAATTTGTAGTGGCGAAGGAAACAGAGTAGGTGGGGAATGAACAACAGAAGAAAGAGTTAGCACTAAATCTACTAGGTGGGTCAAATTCACTCATTCCTGGGTTCTCCTTTTAGAATCATTGAGAAGGTAATAAATGCTTCTCTGAGACGTTATTGAAGAAAGTGATTTAGTGATATGCAAACTGAATTACACTTGAATCTTTGTTCATGCTGTTGTCATGTGTTGTTTATATACTATGTCAATTTGTGAGATCTGAATTCATACGTCCAGGAAATATATTTTCCTAGAATTTGTAAACAATAATAGTCACACTAATAAGAACGTTCACAGTGTTTGTTTCTACGAAGACACGGTTGAATGTTTATAATAATAATAAATAATACATTTTTATAATAACGAAAAAATTTACTTCTGTTTTTTGGTATGTCACTATTATTATTTTTTGTCAATCTATGTGAAATAAATATATACTTCTAAAACTTATACCAGCTTTTCTTTCGAATACAGTGATGCTCGCTTAAATTCCACAAATTCGAGTTCCAGCAGTGGAATTTAACCGAGCAGAGAAACAGTATGATGCTATTTGTTTCCAGGAATTGATTCGAGCACAGCCTGACAAAGTCAGAGAATCGATATAGTGAGCGGAAGCGGGATAGACACAATCCTCTGAGGATCAAGGGTCGAAACGCGAGACTTCAAAGCGATGCCGCACGTGTCAAACATAAATATGCAACGAAGAAAATTTCAATTGTAGTAATTTTAATCTTACCTTCTCAAATATACTGCTAGTGAATTTCTGATATTGTTCTGATCAAAATGAGTCGAAACACGATGGAAATCGGACTAGTCTTGCCGACTTAATGTAATTAACGAAATTAAAGGTTGATTTGCCTCAAATCGATAAAACTAGATCGATTTACGACGTGTTTCAACTCATTTTAATAAGAATTTCTTAGTTTAGCCATGGACTGATCTAACAGTACATGTAAGCATCATTTTAATTAATGAATTTATCTATTTATTTATTTGACGGGTAGATGTCCTTTAGTACGGGAAACAAAGAGATATAAATGAAGCGTAAGGAGTGTACAAAGCAACAATAATAAATTATAATACAATCGATAATGAAATAATAAGCAAAAAAAAGAAATGAAATTCGTCACATTAAAGTAAGAAAACAGATCCATTTTGTCTGACATTGTTTCCGAGTTACAACTGTCTGTATTATACCAATTGTTTCCCAGCTTCACAGAAATTGCTTAAAGTGAGGACAGATGGACTTTCGACTGAATACGAGACGAAAGTTTTGGTTGACTACCTTTTGCTTGAATACAAACTTTAAGATATCTCAGCATTGATCTTTTCACCCGTTCAAAATTCCGAGGTGCTGTTCGAATTAATTGACAATCTTCGATTATATGCTGCCGTAATTTACTTCTGTGTTATAAATCAAATCAAAGACTTGAAGCCTTCAAGCATCTCCATCAATTAAACTTCATTAGATTCGAAGTTTACGATTGAATTCAATTCATTAACGAAAAAAGGAAAATGACTGTTTTCAAGCTGAAGAAAGTTATTGAAAGGAAACCTTTGCACTCTTCGAAAGTAGCACGAGTAAAGGTATTCACTTTTTAAAATTTGCCACATAATTATGGAAATCTGGGTCTATCAACGTTTAGCTGGTAGAATTAGCAAATTAGCTGGCAAATTAAAAATTTTTGATATTTTTTCCAACTTTCCTCCTATTTTGTAAACATTTGTAAAAAAGACCCGTTTATGTACAAACGTTTTACCAAACTGTCGTCGCATTCACCGTGATCCTACATTAAATGGAATGTAAACCGTTTCTGGATTTGTATAATTTAAGTAAGCACCAATGTTAATTTTTTGCGGAAAAGAATTCTTTAAACTGCTGAGAACTTTTCCCGAAAAAATTAAATTATGCATCGGACTTTAAATGCCAGAGAGGAAGAAAACCACATACTAATCTCTCGTAATTTAAATATTTAAATTATTCATTAGTCATTTTCAACTTTAGATATCAAAGCTTGGAGCCACGATTGCGGCAGTATTCGACCGCAAAGGATTAATTTAAATGTAAACGGTAGTTCATTGCTGTGATAACAGATCTGTGTTCAACAGTTTCTATATGTATGCTCGTTACTCTGTTTATGAGGTACCTTTTTACGTGGTAAATTATAACATTATCTAGGCGGTGTTGTTTATACAAGAGCTGAATTTACTGACATCAACTAAAATTTGCTTTTGTTTTCTGAAATGTCGTTATATTATTTTTCTGTTGATACTTTAAACGTCATGTCAGTCATCGATGATCGCCATTTCCGAATCACTTGAAAACAATTATAATATTCAATATGACTGATGTTCCATAAAAATGTTTAATAGCGAAAGTTAATTGGTAATAGTGTAATGCCATGATTGTGATGCTGAATAATTAATAATTGTTCATACTTATATTTGCTACAAAAAAATAAGGGTTACGCGAAACACTAAAGATTTTCGTGGCATTTAGCGTGTTGATTTGCGTGAAACGCGTATGTGTTAGAAATATTTAAAACGCGCGTCAAACTTCAGAACGTTCGTTATTTGCTTTTATAATACACTTCTCTGTTTAATATCGATTTTGTGTCTCTATGAATTGGTTAAAATGAAATTAATTTGTATCAAAATATTTATTTGTCTGAATATAATTTATTAAACAACCATCCAGTTATAACAATTAAATAAAGTTTATATAGGAAAATACTTCATTTCATCAGTATGTATTTCTAAAACTGTTACCAAATGTTCTTTCCAATATTTGTTTTCTTTTGGACTGATGGACTCTATTTTCGCGATTTTCATTGGCGTAAAACGAATCCACGCGAAACGGATACTCCGCGTAAATGGAGGGACGAATATACTGATATTACAAATGAATTTACTGAACTGACTCAGAGATATTACAAGTGTTTCTACAATAGCTGGCAAGGTTACTTTTGTTATACCAAACGTTTATATTTATAAATAGTTAAATGGAGAATTCACTTTGTCAAAAGGATTATGGGAAGACGTTACTCACTTGACTTAACCAATGAAGTTATGACCATATGTTTTAGCACATGTTGTATGGAATCTACATTTTATTTTGATATATGTGGATTATTATGCTTATAATCTGTTGGGACAAGACAAAATATTTTATGTTGCATTTGACATTTTTTGCTAACAAGGAAACTTCAATCCGCTTCTGAAAATTTTTAAACTTCGCAGGGGTTTAAGAGCCTTGAAAGAAATATAGAGTAATCTTTTTTAACCGCTTTCGGTTCTTCAGGGCAAAAGCATCCCTTGAATGGAGATATATATACTACTCCGTATTCCGGTTTATTTTTAAAATTATAGCAAATATGAAAAATAGGTTCAATAAAAGATCGAATGGTTGTTCTTTAATTTATGGAATGATGCCGCTGAATTAATAAATATTTTTTGTTTAAATAAAATGCTCGACTATCGTTTTTTATGAAAAGTTTCGAATTTTCTTTGAAGTCGAAAAGTATATGCGGAATAAATGCATGTAACATTCACTCTGAAGAGCCTAAAAAGGGGCAAAAAAGTTGGTCGATGGTTCTCTTAAGGTTCTCTACACACTTGCAATATTTGAAGAAATGAAAGTTTCCGAATTAACGAAGTTTTTCATAATTAACGAACGAGTCGATTGTGGAAATTGTAGTCTCACGTGTAAACACCTATCATCAAGGTGCTAATACGCTAGGAAATAATTTTCGATATTTTTTTCAGACAGCAACCGTTGTGGCGTGTGTGAACGCATTTGAGATCAATGGTAGCAAGTTCAATTCACATATGACAGTAAAAAAATTAGATAAAATGAAATTGAAGTAGAAACACTTTTGCAAGTGACTATCAGAGAAAAATATAGCAAATTTCTTCCTAGTCTGTCTGCACTTTTAGGTATACATTTCTTTTTTTCTTCAAAATGAAATAATCGATTCAAGTAGATTACGGATATTTATGTCGACGTAAGTTACTCTAATATTTACCGCATCTTTTCTGTTATTTTACATTTCTATTAATTCACATCGACATTAAGCTTTATTTATACTCTATGACAACCGTTTCTACTTTTATGTCATTAATAAATTGTTTGATTGACCAATTTCAGTGCTTTAATGGAATCTTGCTATCACTGCTATCTTAATGGCATACGAGGCAGAGTATTCTTATGTTTTTTCTAATTTTATAATCTTTTCGCTTTTACTTTCCGGAGCTACCCCTATGATTAAAGGTCTCTTGTTCAACTTCCAGGAGTTCTCGGGAATTGTCCCTTGGTACAGCCACCTCAGTGGGGCGCGGTGAGAGAGAGGGTCCTTAAAGATGGCACTCTGCAGACCGTATACTCGTGTGAACCAAGCCGTAGATTGAAGGGCCATAAAATACTGACTTGCACCGTCGACGGTTGGAATCATCCTATCCCGAAATGCGTCCCTTATGGTAAGAGACATGCACTTTAATTTACACGCTTCATGCCTCCGAGACTTTAACAAGCTAGAAATGGCACGGCCAGCCCAGGACTTCACGAAAATTCGGTCAAGTTTTGGATTACCTATTCTCTATCTGATTTTCATAGTTTTTACACATCAGATCGTCCTATAAGTTCGTGCTGTTTATTTTTCTACCATATAAAATAATATTTAATTAACGGTAAAACTACCGTATCAATCAAAATGACTGGATTCAGCTTCTTGTTTCGCAATATATTAAAATCATTAAATACTCGAAATAATCTTGAATACTATAATGAATGTTTGAAGAAACTGTACATAATCTATTGTTATAATTTTTATAGGGATTACATATTAATCGTATTAAATGCTCGGTAGTCTTAATGTTAAATATAAAATTTGTATCACTTTACAATCTGTCGTTCTAGAATATCTTCTACTGAATCTAGTAATCTTTTTATGAGTATGAAGAATCTAAAAATGTTCAATGTTTTTGTAAGAGGGAAAAGTTCAAAATATTACTTTTCACGTCATATTTATAAGGTATCAGAAATTAACGAGGGAGTTTAATTTAATCAAGTTTATCGAAAATTCTATCATAAGAATGTAGCACCATGAGCAGATTTTAATATTTATAAAATCAACGTCGACGTTACTTGGAGAATGACCTATGACTTCTTCCATAATAAAATTCAAACTTGTAATTAGGCTGTAGATTGTTCTTCAAAATTCAATTACTAAAGTTAAGAACTGCGAGACTGAGGCAAAATAAAATTTTAGTTTATATACTTATAGTTTCAAAAAGTTGGAGAGAATGAAATTTCGTGTAAGATTTTGTTATATAATTTTTTGAAGATCTTTAGAACCCAGAATCTTTTAATCGCGTTATAATTGGTCCGACTGTAATCATTTTTTATCCATGTTACCCTAACACTTTTCTACGAACAATGAAGAAATGATTCGATGCAAACAATGAAAGACGCAGGTTCTAAATTATAAGGAATAGTGTAATTATAGAATGTATCTGCATCATTGCATCTCTTAGAATTCTGTGGACGTAAAGATATACAGGACCTCAAATCATTTATTTATTCTATTCTGCAATATTTTTTTCTAACTTTGATTAGAAAAACAGATATAGCTTGTAACATTTGCTTGAATTACCCTGTATAAGGACAAAGTATGTACAATACTTACATACAATATTTTTGAATATAATTAAGTAACTTGTAAAATACGGTTACTTTGGTTGTATTTGCGCTGTCCAAATTTGGGTCCACTTGCATGTTTGGTAACACCTGTTAAAATTTATCTGTTGCATTTTTCAGTTTTTTTTTCAAACTGTATATTTGACTAATACATATAGATAAGCTTATGTTCCGTTATTACAATTATATGTTACATGCACGTTAAATTACAATCATACGTTATATGTATAAAAATTCTTAAGTAAATATTGTTTCCAACACTTGGTTTGCGAATATTTATTGCTCGGTATATTCTACTATTTCTAGAAAACTTATTGTTCGTTCAAACCTGTTAACCCAGTAAAGTTTGGATACCAATAAATAATTCTTGATAAAATTGCAAATACGGCTCTTATGGATAAAACGTAATGAAAATGTCCAATGACATAATATGTATCATGCAGAATAATGTTAATTGCTGAATTTGATAATATAATTCTTGGTTAAACAATGGAGGTTTTTCCCTTATGCTTGACTGATAGTTCTATCCTTCATCGTACGCAAATACTTCGACAGAAGAGAAATATATTCTTATATTTTATTTCAATATGTATATAAAAAACAATTCTTTCGTGTATGATGAAACAGCAGGTTGCATCAAAATAAAAGGTAACAAATAACATCGAACCAGCGAGAGAAACGAATATTCGCATATTTGTAGATACCACCTATTTGCGTAAGAAAAAGCAAACGTTTGAAATCCGGAATAAACGTGTTGTTCGGGATTTATTTTGTTCGGCGTACCATTCAACGGACATATTTCACTACTTTTGCACGAATAGACACGTCTATTTTACAGCACGAAATTACAATATTGTCGGAGGGAAAAAATAGTTCGAAGTTTAAATGCGCTCGGTGAAAATCCTGGGATGTTTGGCTTACCTCTGGCATAGCAGCAGAATAATATGAAACGAAATACCGATGAAAAATAATGTTTATTTTCATAATCTAAACCATAAAATGAAATATTTTAATCTTGTATTTAATCTTGTATGTAAAATATTTACCTGATGTATGTTTTGACATTAAACACAAATTCAGGATAGAAATAATATTGTAATGCAGGAAAACGTAATATTTGACAATGCTTTTATTTTAGTTGAAAATAATTATTTTCATGTTGTGTATATAATTATTTTAAATCGATAATAATTATTGTTTAAGTAACTTTTATTATTCAAAATAATATTATCGTGTATTATTCATATAGATGTTTATTTTATGTCATTGTTATGTTAGTTGGAATTTTAGTAATCGTTACTTGAACTTTTATAAACATATCTACAAGGAAAATTAAAAGTCGTATAGATGACAAAAATTAGAGCTGCCCTCTTTTCTCCTTTTCTAGTTTGGAAGTCCCATGTAAAACTAAATGGTCATGCTTCCGAGTTACTTCAAGTTCTCTGCCGAATTTGTTCAACAACCTACCTTTTTCCCTCATGCAATTCGCTGATATAGAATATACCATTTAGTACTTCCATTACTGAAAGTCATTTTAGTTCTTCTTTTGGCAGGCACTGTGTATTCAATTTTCATTAGTGATCTCATTAACAATAAACAATTTTATGAATTTCGATACATTTCAATCTTAATAAAATATTTATAAATAAAATCTAAGCTTCTATTTCATCTCATTTTATTTAACACTAGAACCGCGGTACCGATCAAAATGACTGGTTCTGGCTTTTTTGTTTCACAGTTATTGATACCTTGAAAGCATTGATTATTCGAAACAATTTTGAAAATAAATAGTTTCACTCGAATACTCTACCGTAACAATTTTTATGGGGATCGTATATCAATCATAACAAATGCTTGACAGTTCCAGTGTTGAAACCTATTCAAACTAATTCATATTCGTATAAAAATTTGCAACCTAATAGCAAGCGTAATAAACTCCTAATTGAGATTGTATAGATCAATTACGCAGATGTTTCCGGCGACGATTAGCGCAAACGCGTGACAAATATATTCGCAGGAAAATCAGATTTAACAAACATGACAAGCTAATGCGAATAAAATTCGCAAATGAATTGCTAAACTCAATTACGAAATGAATCAGATACGTCCTCCATAATTTCCATTTTAAATTAATCGTTATCTCGAGTAAGTGTGCTCTCTAACAAGCTACGCGCACTGCGGTGGGCGGCAATGGCGCGTATCAAAAATAGAATCCAATTAAAAGTGAATAACTACAGTTTTTTTTTCGCGGCGTTATATCAAGCGGGATCATAAATTAAACACGGAAGATGTATTACGATGTTATCATTTTACGTGACAGAAGCATCGTCACGGCGGGAGTCTTCGTCGACGTCCCGGTGAGCGCGGAATTTAACGCAGCAGCTCGGATATATTCCTCCAGTCTGCACGAACAACATAGTCATTAAGTTGTTCCTTGATTTTACACCTTGGCACAAACCGAAACGAAACGGAATTGTTCGACGAGCAGTTGGAAATTAATGAAATACTCGTGATAGCGCGCTAACTATCTTGAATAATTAAAAACAATCGTTCGGATTAAACAGTTCACTGCGTTTGACGAATATACCCGTCATCTTAAAGCTTTAAGTAGTACTAATTCTTTCAACGATGAATTCTTTATTTTTTCATGTAAACGTGTAATTCTTCTTTGTTTTGCTTTAGTTTTTCATTAGAATTCTTTATTTTTTCACGTAAACATGTAATTCTTCTTTGCTTCGCTTTCATTCGAATATACCCTAGGTGCATTCGTCTTGCGTTTGACGAGTACGCATTTCGCTTTTTGATTTTATTGCGGGCGAAACTAGAGATTTTTGAAAATAAATTCCACAGTTAACACATTGTGTACCGGCTAATTTTCAGAAAACTGAATTGCGCGGATGGCAATTTTCACTGAGGTCAACTTATATCACTATACATAGCAAAACTCAGACATCATATTGTTATGTAATATGTTTTAAATAGATAATCAATTCGAATTAAATTTAATATCTTTCTCAATGCGGTGGTAATTAGCGAAGTTGCATAGCTAAGTGTCTTTATATAAAAACGATTTTTCTCGTTACCGGTACGCAATGGGTTAAGAGGTTAACGTCATTAACAGACATAAAGTGTTTTGAAAATTTATTGATATTTACGTACTATACAGAGTACCTTTGTTAAGATCTAAATCTTAAGAAGATTTAAAACCAACTCACGCTCTACATTTATACAAGGTGAACCAGTAAATGTTAGCACTCCATTATCGTTGCAATTTTTGAGGAAGCGTGAAAACTTTGTTAACCAAAGTTTCTCAATATAAAGAGTACTATACTATGACAGTAAAAGTTTTTGTAGATGGAAGAACTTCAAAATCAATTTCATTTGCTTTAATGGAATCATACATTTTCTTATGTAGTATTCGATGCAGCTTTAATTTTGTTGAAATCTTTAGATTTCATTTCCCATATTTTGAAAAAATGTTAAACTCTCAATTTCGAAATTTGTTAATTTTAATTACAGTACTATAATAAAGTAATGTTTGTTTTTATAATGTAAAAATATTTTATCACGTTCAAACTATTATTTAATTAGACACTTTCATGCAGTTTTTCGGATATTATTCAATCTACTTTTGGAAATCAAAGATTTGTAATGAAATCCAATTATATCGTGTAATAGAGCAACAATTCTTGTTTACGTGGGTATTCCTTCAATGAAAGGGGATGTCAATACAAGTCGTGTTTCCATACCAACGATCAACAACATCAGCGAGTGCTTGACA